GCAGTTTGACGATCTCTCCACCTATTTCATACACACACACACACATACACACACACACGATGTATATGCATAAGGGTACCCCTTAATTCCAGACAAAATTCTCTATAATGAGGGCAAAAGATATAACTGTGATCAAAACACAGCTGCTATCCAGCCAGAACTGGATGAACTCAAGTACCAAGAACAGGAAGCAGAATAGTCAAAATGATATTGCAAAAAGTAAATATCAAATAAAATTTTAGATGTTTTGATTTCTTGTTTTTCAAAGCCAGTACTGCTAAGTAGTAAAAGCAGGAAACGATAGCGGATGTGGCATTGGTGGAAAGGAAAAGTCACTAACCTTGTCAGTGGCTTCATGAGCAGAAGTATAGTATCCAAAAAGAGAAGAAGAAGACATCTTTGCTCTGCTCTGGACATCCCATTTTAGGACGGACATTAACAAACCAGAGCTCAGTCGGTGGCTCAGAACCAGAGGCAACTGTGATGAGCTGACACTATGGTGCCCAGAACTAGGAGAGTAAATTAAGAAGTAGCTCAATGCAGTGGATCAGATCAGCATCTGGAAATGCAGCTCAGGAGATTTTCCTATAAATGCATGCCCCAGAGGTTTGGGAGTCCCAAAATGCAGTAAAGGTGAAGAGAGAGAACAGAGTGAACATTGAGAATTTGGGAGGTGAAGAGAGGGACAGAGTAATAGAATGTAATTGTAACTAAACTGAAAATATAAAAAATATTTTGAATTCTGCATAAAGGGTGTATTATCAAAAGGGAGATACTCGACATAAGACTAGAAAAAGACAACTGAAATGGAAAGAATGAAATAGTTCATTTCCCAGAGAAAAAGGGGAAAATCATCACACTTGACTTAGTTACTTTGATTTCATTCTCATCTAACAACCTTCCTTAATTTGGTTTCCCAATATAAATTCTCCCAAAGACCGTCTATAACCACAGCAAAAACAATTCTAGCTTACTAGTCATGACCTTCACTCTACTCAGAGCTTTCTTTCTCCTTCAAAATTCCAGATATAGGTATTTTCTCCATTCTTATGGATAAAGAAATCGAAGTTTGGCTCATCAGTAACACAACTGTATCTGCAATTCACCTCCCAACGTAATTGCCTTTGCACTCCATCACAATCAGGAGAGCCGATGACACAGAAAACAGAGATGTACAAGAAAGCGGTGATAGTCTAGAAGCAAATGCTACAAAGAAGTCAAAAGCAATGAGGACTGGCACAACTACCTTCATATTGAGTGGTCTCGGAGACTTTCCAGTAAAAAAGTGTCAGAATGCAGACTGCATGAGATTAATAACAAGAGAATAATAAGAAACAGAGGCATCAATGTAAACTAGTTAAACTATTGTGGAAAGCAATATGGAGGTTCCTCAAAAAACTAAAGATAGAAAAACCATTTGACCCGGGAATTCCACTCCTAGGAATTTACCCAAAGAAAACAACTTCTGATTCAAAAAGACATATGCACCCTTATGTTTATCACAGCACTACTTACAATAGCCAAGAAATGGAAGCAACCTAAGTGTCCATCAGTAGATGAATGGTTAAAGAAGATGTGGTACATACACACAATGGAATACTATTCAGCCATAAGAAAGAAACAATTCCTACCATTTGCAACAAGAAGGATGGACCTGGAGGGTATTAGGCTCAGTGAAATAAGTCAGGCAGAGAAAGACAACTGCCAAATGATTTCCCTCATTTGTGGAGTATAACAACAAAGCAAAACTGAAGGAACAAAATAGCAGCAGACTCAGACTCTAAGAAGAGACTAGTGGTTATTATCAAAGGGGAGGAGTGGGGGAGGACAGATGGGGAGGGAGGGAGAAGGGGATTGTGGGGTATCATGACTGGTACACATAGTGTGTGTGGGGTCACGGGGAAGACAAATAGGGACTCTGTGGAATCTTACTACACTGATGCACAGTGACTGCAATGGGGTATACAGGGGGACTCGATAATAGAGTGAATGTCATAACCACATTGTTTTTCTTGTGAAACCTTCATAAGAGTGTATATCAATGATACCTTAATTTAAAAAAATGAAATAAAAAATAAAAAAAAGAAACAGAGGCATCAAGAGCAGAATGCTCTCAGTGACACAGAGATCTGCTTCACTTCAGCTCTAATAGGATCTTCCTGCCACCCACCAAACACTGACAAATATGTCTATTCGGCAGGCACCTAGGGTAAACCAGTAAGATTCCCCCAGGCCAGCAGTATTTCAGAGAAACAGATTCTCTGTAAAATGTAGGAATTGATGTGGGCATCTTCTATTCACTTTTTCTGTAGGAAGACATTTTGAATCTAAACAAATGGGTTTCTTACAGTCTATTTGTTTTTTACTTCCAAAATACATTTTATCACTATGCAAGCCAATGGGAAAAATGCAATTCAGTTTATAGTGTTTTAAAAATCACTTTTCTGGAACACATCTATTCAGTTAACTGATAATTTAATATCTCAGAGAAATGGCATGTGTTTATATGTGAAATGATAAAATGAATTTTTTTCTATGTTTTGGCAGTTAAACTTTCTTCCTTTAAGAGAATGTTTATCTTGGTACTCATAACATTTTAATATGAACTTACCTCATCCTGAGAAATTTTATATTTAAGATCTGAGGTTTCAATCATGGGATCTCTCTCAGTGAATTTTAATACAAGATAATCATCAATCTACAATTTCAATTTCTACTTAATGTCTCAAAAGTACGGGAAGCCTTTATCACAGAAAAATTTATGTTGGTAGAATTTACAGCAGGGTTGAGAGAAGAGTGCATAGTTTAAAGTATATTTCATAGTGTTAAATGCTCCTAGAGAAAGCATTCCAGCTATCTAGGATAACAGAGCATGGTTTCTGGGGTTTTTTTGTTTTGTTTTTTTATGATAAGTTTAAGATAAGGGGTTTTCAAATACCAATGTTTCATTATGTTTAAGTTCCAGCTCTTCTCATTACTGTTCATGGCTATGTATCTCCTGGTATATGAAAATGAGACACACCAGAAATTCTGACTAGTGATATGAAGCAGAAATGGGTAGCCACACACTGTTAGCTTTTACTAAATTATAGTTTGCACATGGACAGAGTATGATTTGGATCAGTCTTTTTGTTCCTTCTTACTATAAAATTTTACAAACAATTCTCTGTTGGTTTACTTTTTTCCTCTCCCCACCCTCCCTCCTGTCTGAAGTTTTGGGACAGAGAAAACCATTTTACTAAATTTTTTTTTTTTGTCAATAGAAAACCAACTGTTTGAATGTGAATTCCTTATGGGATTATATGTCTTTGTACAAATTTACTTCTGGCTCTGATTATTTTTAAAAGATACAGCCTTTAGAAAGGTAAAATGTGTTGAACTTTCAAGAGTCCTGTAGTGAACAACAAAAGTTGATTTATGTTCTATCACAGTATCATAAGGTGGTATCACTGAAATGCAATATAAATTAACCTTATCGCCAAGACCCCTTGTGCATTTCTACTTTTCTTGATACACAGTATGAATTAGTTCTTGTTTCAAATGGATAAGGAACTCTGTAAACATACTTGCTATTAATGTGTATCTAAAACTGTGTAAACAAAGAAAGAGCGAGTAGGGAATGAGGAGGAAGAGGGGAGCAGGGAGGAAAAGTAATAGTCAAAGGCCAGGATGATCTCCAAGTCACAACTTTATTTTCATTCCAAAACAACACATAGAACTTCTGGCACTGGTTGTATGGAAACAGAACGATTTTATAAATAAAGAGCATATGCTCTCACATGAGTATGTGAGTTCTAGTCTGACCCTTTAGCAGACACATGGCCTTGGGCAAGTTAATTTTTCTTTTGTCCAGTTTCCTGATTTGAAAAGCTGGATAAGCACAGTACCTATCTCACAGAATTACTGTAAGAATAAAATGAAATATGTAAAGAGGCAAAAACCTGGTACATGCTAGGTACTCAATAAATGTTACTTACTTTTCCCTTTTCTTTCCATCATTAGGTTCTGTGAACCCCTCATACATACCCTCGTATATAGTCACCTAACACACTGAAAGTTGTGATTTTTTCCCCTATATTATGACTGTGTAATTTTTCCTTCGGGGTTCATCTGCATTCTTCCAAAATTTTGTTCTTCTCTTTCAATTTGATAGTTTGATTTTTGTACTCATAAGTAATCAAGAACTTGGGATAGGAATTTCAGCAAAGAAAAATTTCTCCACCCATTAAAATGTACTAATAGTTATTTGAAACCTAAAGAGCAGATTATAATAGATAAATCTTATTTTTTAAATACAGAAAAATTATTTTACAAGTTTCTAGAAAAAAATTCTAAAATCAAACATTAGTTCTCTTTTTAACCAAAAGAAAAAAGCCATTTAAAACCTAAGTTCCATTGCAGCCACATTCTCCTAATACTGAAGACAAAACTGAATGTGGGGGGAAAAAAAAAGACAAGAAAAAAGAGGTATGGAATACCATGATGAGGAAGGCATAAATAACCCTATGGGACTGGGCAATCAGCAACCCTGCTAGGGGTGAGGGGCCGGGGCACACCACATCTGTCTGCCCAATTGTTTTGTCAGCACCGTACTTCATTCATTAATTCAAGACCATTGAAAGACCTTCCATCCACAGTAAGTGGTGTGGGTTAGGGGTACAGTGGGGTAGGGGTAGGAGTGGAATAGAATGAAGGAGAGGTGGCCTACACCAATTTTGATAGTTTAGATCAAATAAAGAAACTAAAAGAATTACTCTTTGTACACACGGACTCACCTAGAGTTCCCACAGTTGAGTCTAAGAAAAGGGGTCATTGCTGAGCCCTGAGGACAGTATGTACGTACATATCCCGTCCCTACTCTTTCAACAGTTTACAAATGTCTTCAATATTTTCATCTGGATGTCATGCTGGCTAGGTTGGCCCACTGTTCAGAGCAAGCTTAAATAAACTTCCTCAGTGCCTGTGGTCACTGTCTGCCTTGGAGAAGTGGATTCACCTACCCATACTCATCTTGATTGGCAGGTTTTCTCTGCTTGCTGCTTCCACTAGATGTCTCCGGACTTCCATCACTGCCTCCTTGTGCTTGGCATTCAGTAAGGCTTCCCACAGGGCTTTGGCTGTGCTATCACTGCAACAATACCATGAAAAGAGCTTTAGAGTAAATTTCTACTGGATATAATGGAAAGGGTTAAAAGCAAAATAATTTCTTAAACATCTTTTTTGAGCATTAATGTAGTCTTCCCTACCAACAAACTCAAAGTATTAGAATTAAATAAAGACTATCTGATTCATTTTAATCAGCATAAAATATTGAGAAACTAAGGAGACAATAAAATCAAGCCCTCTAATGTGCAATGAGAAGTGTGGGGAAAATGTATGATACATTTTTTTTGAGACTTTGCATTTAAAAGTATTTCAGAGTGTAATTCAACATTGCTAGAGTAACATATAAATGGTCTGGAAGCCAAAATTAAATACATATCTAAAAATGATTTATCAGTGATTATAAGCATATCCACAAGGAGTGGATTTCCTACTAAATGAAAATCAGGAATTCAGCTAAGGACCATGGCCTTAAGTAGCCCATTTTGGGCTTAGGTTGTAAGGATGACATAAAAGCCTCTACAATTAACCGTTGATAACAGCACCAAGGGCAGCATTATGCACAGTCTCATCTGGGCTCACTTCTCCAACAGCCCTCTGTCTCACCCAACATGCCATGTCCAAATTATAAATAAGGAGAGTGTTCTTTCCGGAAGATCTCTCATGTAGCCAAGTATACACATTTGTAGGAAGGCTTTAAAAACTGAGTATAAAGAAACAAAGATGACTTCTGTCCCTTTTCTAAGGACATTTTACCTCCACTTAAAGCCCCATTAACACCTCCTACTACCAAGTTAGTGATAATTTGAAAGTGAAAGTATTTTTTAAAGTTAAGTTTTAAATGATATACCTAATATGATACTAATTTAGCTTTGAAGTTTTCCTAATAATGTATTATTTCAGGTTTGAATTTGATGTGGAATAACGGAATGATGTATGTCAACACTGAGTTTAATATCTGGCATATGATAATCTTTCATTAAACAATGGTGTTTTTACTTTTTCTGAGCAAACTAACATCACTGCTCAACATATTCCACTTGTTTTGATCTGAACAAAATTGTCATTATTATAACTCAGTATCTAATATTCTAACTTTAATTTCAATGAGCATGTAAACTAAATGCCAAGCCCTATTCTCAGTGGTTGGGATATAAATAAAAACTAGTAGCAGCTTTCAATGACTTACAGTCTGTAAGAAGAGGCAGACATGTAAGTAAAGAAATTATCCAAAAACATATGGTAAGAGACAGATCAGTGCTTGCACAGATTTTTCCAGGCGTATAGAGCAGGGCTTTTAATCCTGGCTGGGAGGACAGAGACTGAGAATGATTTCTACTGGAAATGATGAGCAAGTACACAGATATGTATGCTCCAAAAGCAACCAAAGTAAAAGTTTTAACCCAATCTGGAAAGGAGAACACTAAAGAAAATCTTCAAGGGAATATATATAAAATAAAGTTTTCATCACAAAAGAAGAGGAAGAAGGACATTTCAGAATGTGCAAAGTCCTAAGGACATGACACTAAGAAGTGCTGCTTTGACCAGGCTAAAATGCAAGGAGGGGCACTAGAACTAAGGGCAAAAGAGAAGGCAGTATCAACTCTATGAGACCCTGTATCCTTGCCAAGCCTTGTCGGCTTTAGGCTGTGGGTAATGGGAAGCCAAGAAGCTGGTGACTGATTTCACATTGTGAGAAGAGTAACATAGATGAGCGGTTATGAACACACCCTTTATCATCATTCAAAGCTGGGCCTATTTATTACCTACAGGGCTTTGGAAAAAGTTATTTAATTTCTGTAAAGCTCTGAAGGCAATGGAGAACCACTAGAAAATTCTGAGTAGGAGTGCTAATGCTCCCAGTTTCCCAAATTGATGGTCCACAATCATTCCCCACTTTCATTGTCCAAAGCATCTTTCCCCAAACAACAGGGATTTGTCACACACTCTCAATTCTACACACAGACCTTCCTGAGTAGAATTTCACTGCTCTTTTTTCCATGAGTATGTATCTTGCTAATAGAGTGTCTCCATAGTGCTGGGGTTACGCCTTCAGATTAGTATAGTGGTTAAAATGTGGGCTCTGGGGTCAAATAAATCTGGGTTCTCCCCTCCTCCCACATTAGCTACATGGCTCTTTGATCTTCCTCAGGCAGTCTAAGCACAGGGACCTCTTCTCCTTTGCCAGGAATGTGCTTCCTACAAATATCCCTCTCTCTTCAAGTGTCTGCTGAAATGTCACTTTATCAGAGACATCCCTCTGACAACCCTATATAGAAAAGTGACAACACCCCATCCTGATACCTTATCCTAGCGCTCTCTTTTCCCCTAACTGGGCTTTTACTATTCTATACAATCTTTATTGCCATCTGACTGATTATACGTTTCCATGTTTATCTGTTGTTTATCTATCTCCCTCATAGAAAGACCTTCTATGAAAGTAGGGATTTTTGTTTTACTTATTGCTAATTCCCCACTGCCTAGAACAGCACCAGGTCCAGGTAGGTGCACTCAATTTATACTGAATAAGTGAATGAATGGTGCTAGTTGTGTAACCTTGCACACATAACTATATACTGAATAAGTGAATGAATGGTGCTAGTTGTGTAACCTTGCACACATAACTAATCCTCTCTTTTTCTCCATTTTCTCTTCCATGAGATGGAAGTAGTAATAGTGACTACTTCACAGGGCTGTTGGAAGGGTTAAAAAGATAATGTACATAAAGAACTTTCCTGATTCATGATAAATGTGAGTCTTAAAATTAAATGTGTTCAGGGGTTTGTAATAAATTGATGAATTCACTGACTTACTTACACTGAGTATTTTTTTCATACAATCATGATTTGTTCACATATACTAAAGTCACTTAGGGTTTGTATTCTCTGGCTCTTTGCTATTTAAACATTTTAGAAGAAATACATAGTTTCCATGGTCTTTAACACTGATGCAGTCAGGTCATATTTCCTTGAAAATTGTTTTTGTGACATAAACAATTTGACTGTCTAGATGTGTTTCTAATGTCTACCTCCTGTCCAAAACAGTTTCCTAACACACCATATTAACCCCCATATCACACATGATCATGTTAAGTTTACCAGGTTAACATTCCTGAGCTAATTCTGGTTCTCTGGATAATCGGCACTGATCTTCATACTTATTACCAGCTCTGTTGTGTCCTGTACCCACTTCTTCCCCAAGTCACTGTTACTGCTGCATGGTACCTCATGCTCACACACCTACATTCGCAAATGAGTTGTGTCTGGGAGTTAATCACTGCCTTTCTCCAACATATTCATTTAATCAGACATTTCACAATATTGAAGTTTCACATGAAATAAATTCCTGATGTCAAATTTTGTAAGTCAGGAAAAGTTAACTGAAAGCCATATGATAATAAGGATAGTGTATTTTATGTAATTCTTAATCCTCTCCAACTATACAAATTCTCTTTTCCTGATGAGAGAATATGCAATACATAGAGTGCTATCCCAACAGGGCCAGTGTGATAGACTATGGGTAGACAGTACTGCAGACTGGCAAACGTGTGGGTTCTGGAAGCAAACAACAAGGGTTCTAGTTCTACCACTCACTAGCTCTATGACCCAGGAGAGTTACTTCACCTCCCTGTTCATGTCTTCTCCTCTGTTCATTGGGCATAGTAATACTTTATATTTAGTAGGTTATTATAAGAATTGCACATGCTAATATGTCTAGAACACCTAGAACAATGCCTGGCACACATCAGTGTTCAATAAACACAGCAGCCACAGCAGGAGAAGTTAAAAAAAAAAATCAAAGGTCAGAATTTTCTTATAAGACTTAAAAGGGAGCCTGTTCTAGAAGTACATGACTTTTTTCCATCTGCTTGCATATACACATGAGTAACCACTGTTAGTAGCGTCATTTCTAGTATGAAAAGGTTAACACTACATAATGCAGATTTCATAACAATCACACTGAAACACTGAAAAGTCCAACTCAAACTATCCCCCTATATGTAACATGTTGATGTAAAGAATTTTTACTTTCAAGAATAAAGTAAGAAAACTTGCCTTAGATTACTTAGAGAATTACAGCTATAGGAAAAAAGTTCTTTTTTAAATGAAGGTTTTTAAGCAGTTTAAAGAAGTACCCACTTATTGCCTCATTAATCTAATTATATGGAAATTCTGTAGACTGCACACAACAGGACATTTTAAAATGAGAATTGTTACTTTGATGAGGGGTTCAGATTCTACAAATATTTCCAGACTGATTTATAAAGTCACCTTCTGGAATAAAAGTGAACATTAGAAGGATTAGTACATCAATCATCTTTACATCTTCAGCAGGACACTACCTAACCCAACACACTCAGATGAAAATTGACTGTTAGTTTTTAAAGGTACCTAAAGATAATTGTATAATATGCCTGAGAAAAACAATGTAGCTTCAAACAAATCAAACTGCTCTTAGATCCTATTTACACCTCATCTAAACCCTTTGTACTCCACTGTAAATCTACTTTACCTTGCTTAGTCTTTTCTCAAGTTAGGGAAGAGCTCGAAAACATCTTTTTAATAATCAGGCCCATCCAAAAAGCTTATTTCTTTTTTCATATCTAACTTAAGGAAGATTTTGAAAAGTTAAATAAAACATGGTCAATCTCGTGGCACAACAGTAGCACATTTTACTCCAAAGTTAAATAAAATGTAGTATTTAGAAGTATTTTAAATATCACCACTACCTTCTATTTTAGAAGCATTTCAGAATTTACAAAACAACTTTTATATCTCATTTGATCCTTACCTGATGAGCAAAGCCATTATAACTGCCCCCATTGAAAGAGCCTCAGAGAAGTCAATTGACTTACACTCAACCTGTCATTGGCAAAACCTGGACTCATACCCAGATAACTGACTTCTGAGCCCACTGATCTTTCTCGCATACCATGAGATGCTTGTACTATGTAAGCCATCAAAGACAATCAATTATGTACATTATTTCAAAGTTTTCATGTTGATTTTCTCTTTTACTCCTTTT